TTCAGAGAAGAATTCGTGTTGTAGGAAATGGTAGTACACTTCAGTATTGGCACCTAGACAACTCACATTGTTGTTCGCATCAATTAAAATTGAAAAATATTTCTCATCCAGTTTATTTTTCATATGACTATTAGATAACACTCTCAATGCGATAAAACTGCATATGAATATTATTAATGGGTTTTTAATGTTAGAAAACTTAGAAATTACTTGCATGAAAATGATTTTGGTATACCATATGTAATAAAGTTACAAATTAAAGAAGCAAACCACAAACTTCATTAAAATGTATAGTATAATTATTTTGCAATATTGACTATTACTGCACATTTGACCTAACATATCTTATAACAGGAACAGGAATAACACACAATAGTTTAAGAAGTACTTAGCACATGTTTTAGTTTCCATTTATTTTATTTTTTTGGCAAAAAAATTTCAGAGAGGAATTCGTGTTGTAGGAAATGGTAGTACACTACCATTGGCACCTAGACAACTCGTATTGTTGTTCACATAATTAAAACTGAAAAATATTTCTCATTAAGTTTATTTTCCATATGACTATTAGATAATACTCTCTGATAAAACTGCATATGAATATTATTAATGGGTTTTTAATGTTAGAAAACTTAGAAATTACTTGCATGAAAATTATTTTGGTATACCACATTTAATAAAGTTACAAATTAAAGAAGCAAACCACAAACTTAATTAAATTATTAAATCCCAATGGGATATCATTGAAAGACTTTAAATGAAAATAAAAATAACCTTGATTTATCCTTATTTTTCAACTCGCCCCTTACGAAGGATGATATGTTTGACTTTTTGACATTGTAAAATTCATGAAAATCGCATACTTCAAATTCCTTGACCAATTTTTGTGAGGTCACGGAAGTCTAACATTTTGTGCTTTAAGTTTTTATTTCTCATTCGGAAAGTGCTTCGTAAGGTTGGAGTTTGCTCATATCATGTTACACCTCGGATACGAACAGCAAATGCTTAACTGCAAGTGTTGGAATTCGATAGAGGCAGGATCGTTGCCTATCGAGAATGTGGAGTATCGTACTGTGATATCGCCCATTGTACTGGTCGACATCCAACCATTGCCATGTGAATATGGTATTAATAGGTTGCTGAGGGTCATACTGAACGGCATGCAGAATCTCAACACCCTCCCATGACTAATGCCCGAGAGAATAGACATATTGTGAGATCAGCACAGCCAAACCGTACGACCACATCATGAACCATTAGTAAGGAAATGGGCATGTTTGCAGCATGTCCAGTATCAGCTCGTATGGTTATGTCAACGTTTACAGCAGCGTGGATTACCAGCTCTGCAACCATTACTTCGTATTCCCGTGACAATGCAGCATACAGAGTGATGGCATTTCTGGTGAGCCAGACAATAAAGCTGGATACAGGAGTAGCACAATGTTCGCTTTTTCGGATGAGTCCCGGTTTTGCGTGCAGGATTCTGATGGCCGTATTTGTGTCTGGAGTATCCGAGAAGACGGAACGTCGTTTGCTTTGATATCGGCATAGGGACCTGCACCTGGTGTGATGGTTTGGGCATCCATTTGGTACATGACTGAAGTATATCTCTAGTTCAGATCAACATGCATATCTCTAGTTCAGATCAACGGGAATTTGAATGCAGATTGATACATTTCAGACAACTTATGTCCAGTGGTTCTGCCTTATCTTTGAGGCCTCCAGATGCCATCTTCCAACAAGATAATGCAAGACCACATGTTGCACATCGTGTTCTGACCTTCCTCGATACACAACGTATTCGATTGCTGCTATGGCCTGCCTGGTCTCCAGATTTGTCACCCATTGAAAACATTTGGTCATGGGTTGCTGAGAGATTGGCCTGCCACCCCTCTCCAGCTAATATGGTTGATAAAGTGTAGCATAGACTTGAAGCAACATGGAATGAGTTGCCTGTTTCTGTCATCCAAGCCCAGTTTGATTCCATGCCTAATGGGGCAAGGGCCGTTTTAGCTGCCATGGATGGCAGCTGTTTCTACTAATTTCGCACCCCTGTAAACCTCCAACTGCTTATAAATTTAATCATTTTATCTTCATGCCATACTGTTTACGTGCAAAAAATATCTTTTTGTATCTGCTTTTCTTCATGGTGTTGTAATTTCAATGGCCAGCAGTGTATATATATATGTAATATATTCAGGAGTAGGAATTTTGATGGCATAGAAGTGTTGATCCATAATGACTAGGAAATTGGAGGCGAATGCAGATAAATCTTCAGTTTTATTTTCAGCAACATGTTATGGCTACACACAAGTTGCAACATTAAATGTGCCTATTCCAAATAGCTTACATTTTTGATAGATTTGCAGCAAAAAAGAAGCACACAGACTGCAGTCCAGCTAAGGCAAAGCGTAGAAAGAAAGTGCATAATGTTCAGGATAAACTCTTAATTCAAACCGAGTTAGTTTTGGTTCTCAAAGCATTTTGATTGGATAGTTAATATTTAAAATTATTATTGGCTGCTTGAGTTTCAGTTCAATTTACATCACCAGAATTACATAAGAGTCATACGACATAGATTTTTCTCGAAATGACGCAGCGCAGCACAAATAGATGTTGCTATTTTTAGAATACAGAAGGGAAATTAATTTATGCTGCTAATTTAATTTTTTACATATTCTTTATTTTTCTTATATATATACTTGCTACAAGATGTGCTTTTACAAGAATTAGGATGGATTTTTAAAGCAGAATTTCAATTCATAACAATAATAAAAAAATAGAAATTTAATATAGTTATTTAAAAAGAACAAAACATACATTTGAATTAATTATTTTAGAGAAAAACTATGTAACAACTTTGCATTCTATTACAGTAATAATGATTTCTAGTTTTAAAGTTAATGCTATTAACAGGTGTTCTAATGAAAACTCCCCTACTGCAACTCCCACATTCATTTTTACTGCTGTCAGTTAAAATCTGAAGGGCATTACAGGAATGCCATTTAAAGTTTTCAGTGCAACTGCTGAAGATTACTTGGTACCTGTCTTTTTGCTGGTATAAGAGGTTAGGTCTATGTGAAAGTGAATGCCAGGAAATCCTTCCAACTGTTTGACAGTAAGTTTCAGTGAGTATTTTTATTGAGATTTTCGGTTGATCTTTACAATATGGTAACTGGTAGTTTGGTGACATTTTGGAGGTGATAAAGGTTACTACCTGGGACTTTGGTAATAATGTGAGCAGTACTCAGTTCCGATTACGCATTATTTTGCGTGAGGGAAATGAGAGATCATGGGATATGTCATGTGATATTAATGGACGAATTATGGTTCTTTATTCGGAAAAGGGGGGGGGAAATCGGGAAAAAATGTGGAGGAATTTTGTATTTAGCTTTATTCTGTGTTGTGTGAAACAGTGTTGTTTAATTTTGGATCCCATGGCCCTAACTAAAGTGAATTCGAAATGGGTATTTAGGCATTGTGATAAAGAGAAGTTTACTTTTTATTTAGCGGAGGAAGTATGGAGGGAAAAATTCGCAGAAAAAAATCTTTCAATAATTTTATTGAATGAATTAGAAAAGTGTATCTGCCACGTAATCAAGATTGAAGAAGAAGAAGATTTGGTAAGTTAGTATTTTTATTATTTGAGGATATTATTTTTATGCATTGTTCTAAATGTGTAAGGTGGAAAGGAATTTGGTATTATTGGAAATGGGAAAATTGTTATTAGCAATGATTTTTAGTTTTTTTTAAGTAAAAATAAGTCGATTGTGTACATGGTTTAGTGATATTTTAATTAAATGATAGTTATTTTGTGAATTTTATGTTTGTTTGTAGGAATTTGGTATACGTTTAAGTTGAATATTTAAATATTTGATACTAAGTATTTGTAATGCTTGCGGTATGAATTCGTTGGTGACGTGTATAATGTAATAGATGATTTAGAGGTAAAAGTTTTTTGGATTTTATTTATTTATTTTATATGTGGAAATGTTCATATTTGGAAAGGGTAAATACTTTTTCACGATCAGGTTAATTTCATATATGTTTTTTTTACCGGGTTTAGTTTAAAGATTGAGAAAATTGTCATGTATTTTCGTGAAATTTTTCTAATTTATGAGAAAAAAGCAGTGTACATGGATATAGTGAAGAGTGTGCGCAATGCCATTTTTGTGCAATTCTGGGATGTTTTTTAAAGTAAAAATAAGTCGGCGTGTGTACATGTTTTAATGGTTTATGTGTATGTGTTATTTTGAAAAACGCGTAAGGAGTATGGTATTGTGCACTTTTTCCCAATTTTGCAGTGAATATTTGTCATGATTAAGCAGTTTTGTTTGATAAAAATTTCTAGCATAAGTGTAATTCGGCTAGTAGATTGTTGGAAGAAGTGTTCAGTAGATAAGAAAGAAAGAAAAAACAGTCTTTACTTAGTGAAGACAAAATGGCGGCGGGGGGAAAAAAAAAAATAGAGGGTTGCTGTAGGAGAGTTGGTTGCCAAATTTTCGCCAAAAAATTGCCAAGTTACCATAATGTAAAGATCAACCAGATTTTCAAACAAGTTTAGACTATTGTTAACAAATGTATTCTGCCAGGAATTCACAACCAAAGGGGAATTTCAAAGTTTCAGGGGGAATGCAGTAAGCCTTTTATTTAACCATTATATATTTAGTTTATGAATATAAAAAACTGTTTTTGTTAAAGTTTTGATGTTTATTAACATTTTCTTTTTGTTGTTTAACTCATAAAAATACATCAAAGGGAATCTAAATGAATGTATGCATATATTTTTAAAATTTTGAAAAGGAATGGGGAATGATCCAGCAATGGAGAAAGGGGTGCACAGGAAAAGACAGGTTGAGAACAACTGCTTTACCAGTTTCAAGATTGTTCACTTTTCCAGTAGAAAGTCAATTCTGCTCCAAAGTCAGAACAGTAAACAGAATATACTCAATAATGAAAACTGAAATTTTTTTAAGAGAAGAGCATCTGAAATACATAGTTACCATTCTAAAATATTTTGTTGGAGAGGATGAGCTTTAACATAAGGAACAGGATCCCTCATAATCCTCATGTAGTCTTGCCTGAGACGACGTGTTGCCATGTTACCCCGTTTATTCATTTTTTTTTATGGATACCTGAAAATGTTTCCTGTTAATATAAAATTACAATATATATATATATGATATGGAAACAGCTTTACAAATTCTGTAATATGATGAAATAACTAGAAACATTACATTACAAGTAATGCAAATGAAAATAATTAAAAGAATACACTTTACTGCTATTCAAACAGTATTCATACTATTATATATTGTTAAAAAGAAAAGGACGAACAACTAAATATATCTTTGTTGGCAGTGCAAGTGTATGCAGCCAGCCTTAAGGCCTTCAATTGCTATAAATTCAGAATAAAAAAAAAACAGAGCAGTGATCAGGGTTTCTAGTCTTAAAGTTAATGCTATTAACAGGTGTTCCAATGAAAACTCCCCTACTGCAACTCCCACATTCATTTTTACTGCTGTCAGTGAAAATCTGAAGGGCATTACAGGAAGGCCATTTAAAGTTTCCAGTGCAACTGCCGAAGATTATCTGGTTACATATATCTTTTTGCTGGTACAAGAGGTTAAGTCTGTGCGAAAGTGGATGCCAGGAAATCCTTCCAATCGTTTGACAGTAAGTTTCAGTGAGTATTTTTCAACAGTTGTATCTCTTAAACCCATGAGATAAGCCAAAGAAAAGGGGCTGTTTCTTTTCAATAAAAATAGGGTACCACACATTAATAGCAGCCAAGTTTAGATCTCAGAATGCATTTAAATTGACTTTAAAGGCATACTTTTTAACCGTTTCTAACTCTGTTGGGGGAGATTTCCAAGTATCTGAACATATTATGGATCCTTCATTAGAATGATTAAATATTCGAGGAAGAAAACACTCATTAACTTCCCCAAGGGTTATAAATGTAAAATTCTGTATGAAAAAATGGCTTTCCAATCCATTATACTTGAAAATTTCTGCCAGCTTCTGAAGTATTTGATTTTGCATTCAATGTAAACTGGAAGAAAAAGAGTAAAGTACAAAGTGAAGGGAGTCATTTTGGAATTTTAATCACAGAAATACCATATATTCATGAGATTCTGGTGAACTCAGAAATTTCAGGACAACACTATAATATTCTGAGATCTCTCATCAGGTACGAAATATTCATTTCCGCAAAGACCATGACCAGCTTGAATTTTACATATAATAAATAACCTTCCATCCACTTCAATAATCAAAGTGGACAAGCATCATTTTTATATATTATATTTCTTGAATGATGCAGCACAGTTGTGATGAATATAATTATTTCAGTCAACTAAAATGCAGACTAACACATTAGCTATTTTTCATATAACTTATCTTTTCCATACAGCTAGTAAATTTAATGTCACATTATGACTGACAGATGCAAGCCCATAAATTATTTATGCTGGCTTGTAGACTAATATCACACAAAATAAATGGCAATGAAAACTTCTAGTATTAATATACTCATAGGTAACAAAATTTTCAATATTAGAAAATTTTTTTCATTTGAGATCTTCAGTTTTAATCAATTAATTTCAGTTTAGTAGTTCTCTGTGCAACACAATAGTTTGAAGAATAAAATTCAGATTTTAGCAAATCATTCAGTTTAACATTAACAAAACAATACAGTTTTAGTCCTTTACCTATTAAAGGTTTTATCTACTGTGTAAAATTATATTACACTCTTACACAGATCTTCAAAAGCACACTCATAAAGATATGCCACAAAGAGGGTTACAGCAAAGGAAAATCCAAACATAAATGTTCCAATTTATGCAAAATGTTGAAATTTGGATATTTTCTTAGCTAATCTTTGGAATATGGTAACAGGTAGTTTGGCGACATTTTGGTAAGGCGATAAAGGTTACTAGCTAGGACTTGGATATAGCTAGCAGTGTACATGGATATAGTCAAGAGTGTGCGCAATGCTATTTTTGTGCAATTCTGGGATGTTTTTTTAAGTGAAAATAGGTCGACGTGTACATGGATGATACCGTATATGTGCAATTTGTAAAAATGCGGCAAGCAGTGGGCGATTCTGCACTTTGTCATAATTTCGCACCTAATCTTCGTCACGATTAAGCACTTTTATTCCATAAAAGTTCTAGCATAAACGTAATTCGGCTAGCAGATTGTTGGAAAAAAATGTTGAGTAAAAAAAAACATGCCTTTACTTCGTGAAAACAAAATGGCGTCCAAACAAAAACTAGCAGGTTGCTGTAGCAGGGTTGGTCGCCAAATTTTCACCAAAAAATCGCCGAGTTACCATAATCCAAAGATTAACCATTTTCTTTATATTTCTTATATAGAGATAAAAAACAATATCTAATATTCAGAAATCTATATTATTACATATAACCTTTTCACCCTTCAATTCACTACCAAACTGATCCAGTTTTAATTTATAAAGTAAAAAATATAACTATTCTCCTTTCACACTAAACAGAAAATTTTAGTCATTACCATCATGAATAATTGAAGAAATGCATTCAGTATTAGCTCTATTTAAATGTAAACTTCTCATTTATGTCAAGTTAAGAATACTGGAAAAAATTACAAAGAATTAGGAAAAATCCAAATTGTATTGCTCCATTCGTGAAATACAATAATAATCAACATCATGTAGTGATCAGGAATACATATAAGAAGGATAAACTGATCTTCGATATGCTAAACATAAACAGAATACAATATACTGATTGTTCCTTACACAGATACAGATTGTACAGAATATGAAGTATAGAGCACACACACATTATTCTCTCTCTGTATTTATATATGGTTTTATAGACTTCCTAATTTCTTTTTCTTAAATACAGTTTAAATATTGCCCGACAGACTTGGCATAATCTTATATTGCCGGGCAATATTATTTAAAAAACATTGCTTTAATTGTGGTTGACTTACACGATAGTGCACTTTTCAGTTGTAACATATTTCAACGAGATGCTGAAAGTAGAAAGGAAAGAATGGTTAAAGAAACTTTTAGAGAGAATGTATGTTATTAAAATAAATTCGTTTCTGTAAACAAGTTAAGGAGTGCTTAATGCAATACATATAGCATATCGCTTAAGATTTTAGCAAGGCAATTTACGTATTCAACGGTTTTTTAAAAATTATTTATACAAATGTTTATCTCAATTCTTTATGTACATATTGAATAAGGTAATATTTTAAATTTACACATTACGTGTTTAAATTTTATGAACAGTTCACCGATATTTTCTTGACTACGCATAATAAAGCAATAGCTTACTTCTAATGTAAATTTCGCAACACTTATATAACTAAATATTAATAATTTTCAGGTGACGCAACAACCTAATCTTCGTGAAATAACATCACATCCAAATCCCTTCACCTCAATTTTTGCCAAAGACACCTGGATTAAAATAACAATATGTGGAGAGTTTTATTATTGCTACTTTTTTTTTTTTTTTTTTTTTTTACTGTTGCAGTTACGATCAAAGAAATGATTTTAATACTTCGCAATAAAAAAAAAAGAAAAAAGAAAAAAAAAACCTTGGTTCATGAAACAAAAATTTTTTTATGCATATAAAGAGATAACTTGAAGAAGATGAGCCCCTATTAGCAAATACATTTCGACCCCCCTTTTTTTTACGGAAGACTATATGTAACATTTCGTAACACACAATATATATTTTATTATATATAATTTGTTCCTTAAATTCTCTCCAGAATATTTGATTTTCTTTATTTGATTTGATTGAGATAGGGCGCCGTGTTCAAGGGGGTTAGAGAATAGAAGAAGGGAGAGATCACAGTTTCCTCCACTATCGGGAAATGAAACCCTACTTAACAAGCGGCGTCCATGTTCGTTCTGTCAATATATTGCATTACGGCAGTGCAACGTTACGTGTTTCTAAGCTTTTCCATGCATGTATTTTCCAGTAAAAACTGCTGATGTATGTATGATATGTATTAACTGCTGATGCATATATGATAAACGCGTCGCGAAGGGGTTAAAGACAGTTCTACATACTGGTTCAACAAGATATGCGATATATTATCCGCATGACATAGTATATTATTCCTAATGCCAGTGCAAGTATATTACTTTAAAAATAAGGCACGGAGTTGTAGTTCTAAAAAGTGGATGATGCAACTAGAATGAAGTTTGTAGCCCCAATATCGACTTTGCAACAAAATCTCCGATTATAACTATAAAAAATCTATAAAAATCAATTTTCATGAACGAAGTGTAGAACAGATAATATGATCCAGTTATGCTAAAATAGATTCAAGCCCATATTTTCTGCTAAAATTTCTCATATAAGATGTATTTCAGATAACTGAATAAAAATCTGACTAATCATGAATATTTTCCAAAATATTATGAAAGATTTAATATATAGTACTATACATATCCGTATTATCTATCAGACGCGGATGTTATTAAAATTATCATAGAAATCATTCTACGCTTTAATATGAAGAAATTCTCATGGCATTTCACATCAACTAATAATTCGAAAAACCTTTAAACACAGGAACTGGAAAACAAAAAAGTGTCTATTCGGAGATTGCATTTCTTTCATGAAAATCAAAGTTCATTACACAAACATGCAATCACACTGCACAAGCATGTATGGAAATTCTTAACACATTTAGTAATACTGATAATTATGTTAAATAAATCAGAAAATATTTTAATGTATAACAAATGAATAAAGTAGTTAAGCTTTTATCAAACAGAACAAAATACAGTCAAAAGTCTTTAATCCGGACTTCAAAGCTACAAACTTTCCGCGCATGCGCATAATACGTTTACGCATGCTCATATGCGTTTACGCATGCGCATAATGCGTTTACGCACGTGTGTTTAATATATAACGGACGGTATAAGCTAGGCTAAAATTATCTAATTATCTATTTCAGTTAATGTTGCAGATTGCGTTGTTCTTTAATCTTCGAATTGGATCCGGCTTATTATTTTTTGCAGACTGTTAGAGAAATTTTATAAAAAGTAAGCTTGAACTTTCGATTATGTCAAAAAGAGTTTCCAGTTCTAGAGCTGCCAAAGGATCTACAAAGCGAAATCATTTTTCGATGTCCATTAAACAAAAAGTGGAATTGCTGCAAAAAAATGGATAAAGGCATGAAGATAGTGACAGAGAGTTGATTTGTTTCTCTAACCATTCTGAAATCTGTTTATCAATTTCGCGCTGCTCTGCGAGGGGGGGGGACGTCACGGCGCTCAATGAACTGGAAGTTGATCTGTCAGCCCTATCCTCATCTTCAGGGCAGATGTTTTTATTTTATTCGGCTTATAATTCCTCACTAAATGTAGTGTTTCACCTCGATGTACTCCAATATACACCGATATACTCCGATACATGTAATTTAAATAAATTTCCTCGTCATTTTAAATATCACGAATACACATCAAATAGTTTTCTGGTTGCAATTTTCTAATTTCGACTATGCGTAATGTATGCTTTACACATGCGTGCGTTGAAAGAAATGTTTAAAGTAAACAAATAAATATTAAGCTTTTTTTTTCGTAAATTTTGATACTCTTTAGATCATAATTGATCTTTATTTCATAAATTATGGTTTCATATTTTTAATTTTATAATTTCTAGGTGCCATCTTACCAGATTTAAACTGATGATCTATAATCCGGAAAAACCGATAATCCGGAATCGCCGAAGTCCGGACGAGTCCGGAATTTGACTATACTTCAGTTACGAAGATATTTAGTGTTATAAATGAAATATTTTGATAAATATGAAGTGCCTTGTATATTTTTATAGATGAGCTTTATTGCTGTTTTAAGCAATTAAACAACTGTGCAAGTTATTTTAATAATTTTGAAATGTATAACTCTAAAAGAAACATTAAAATCTATTAATCTATTTGTCAACCTTGATTTTGGCACAAAAGTCTGCAGAATGCTTCGTAGTTTTTAAGCACGCAGAGGCACTGCAATTCTTTCTTATTCCTTGATCTGAAGTTTTGTGAAAATTTTTTTAATCAAAATTGCTGTATTGGCACACGTACAATTTTTATATGGTAACTTCAGATATGGAGAAGTTTTTCGAAAAATCTCGTTTGTTTTACTGGCGTCGCTGAATTCTGCGATGAATGCATCCCATTTATTGCTTAGTATCACCTTCCAGATTTTTCATGCTCTTAATGCATACGTTAGCAGTGAATTATTTTCCTCTTTCCACCAATAAATTACAGCGATAAACAATAACCATTCACTAAAGATTTTGTGTAAATTTCCAATCATAATAATTTAAATTGCGAAAATCTCACAATTAGCACCTAAGCACACTATTCAGCACCACAATTCTTTCGAAAACGCGCCGTAGTAGTCAAAAGTGGCGTACGCCGTCTTCTGTTTGCCAGGTGAAACTACAGTCTGTCTATGATATGAAAACTCTCGCCAGTTAGTCTGCAGCTGTCTGTTGCCGTAGAAACGAGTCTTGACCCATTTTCCGTAGGGGTGTCTTGAAGATGAACGATAAGCTCGTTTCCTCTCAGCAAACAGTCGCCAAAAACAAAATAACAATAAAGCAACTATTGATTCGCCCCTATTTGAAATATACTAGCCCTGTTGCTATAGTCACCGCCACCCGCCAGACATCTTCTCGTAGACAAACAGTAGTCGTTTTTTCCGTGACGTCAAAAATTAGAAAAGTGGGGTAGGGTTTGGAAATATGCAGTCTGCGTGGACACCGTCGAGATGGAAGAACTGGTCGTTTTTTTTGCGATCTACTCGACAGAGAGTGAGTCTGGGACGCGTCGGAAATTTTTCCTTCAGCTGTGTATCTGCCGTTTAACTTTCTGAGTGTCGATTTTGAGCTAAACTGAAGGTGGCGGAGGTTACGAATAGTTTCTGAAGTGTACGTAATAGATATTTTAATTTCTTAAGATTTGCGAAAAACTCGAGTGTTTCTCGATAGAAATAACGCATTTGATGCTAACGGTTCTACTTTTATTGGATTATTTCGACAAACCTATAGCATGGACACTCATCAATAAATTAAGGCCATATTTTACCGGAGCATCCACAACAAAGACAGCATTAACTTCTAAATTAAAGGTAAGAAATAATTCGCATGTTTTCATATCAGTATGCTATAGGCTTCTAGCTATATATCTATCAGAAAAGCAATTTTTTAATTCAATTTTAGTGAAAACAATATATTTGGTGTTTTCGGTATTCACATATAAAGAAGGAGTGCTTACTTTTAATTTAAAATTGTAATTTTTTAAACTAATGTATATATTAATGTACTTAATTTCATGTTTTGATGATTAATTTTGAATTTTTATGTTTTAGATTATAATGTATTTCCCTCTACTTTTATTTTAATTTGTAGTATATAAAAGTTTAATACATTAACAAATGTATTAATAAATATGAAGTATATATTCAAATTATGCACATCCTAAATTCAACATTCATGTTAAATTGCTTTGAGTTAAAAAGATTTTAAGTCGTTTTAACTGTACCGACATGAATGTGAATATCCAATAGTTTTTAGAATCTCCTGTATAATTCAAGTTAAATTCCTGATAATTTCCAATTAAATTAAATTCTTTTAAATATGAATTTATTTAAATTCTTTTAAATATATATAATGAACGATTTATAATTAGTTATGAAATTTTTTTTTGTGATCTGCTTTTAGGTGTTAAATCTCCGTTGTGTATTTTTTATTCAGATTAAAAAAGTGTTTTTTTATGTGATTAAGGCAAAGCCTCGAGGGATATCTGCTTAAGGTAAAGGTTGCCTTCGTGAAGGGCTTTCTTAGGCAACTATCTCGTATACACGTTACACATGGAGGAAACTACGAAGACGCCCATGCAGCCGATTCGAACCTCGTACCAAACTACCAGTGTTCAGCAATTTAACCGCTCGGCCGCTGGTGGGATCGATTTAAGAAAGGGTATAAATAGGAATATGTACTGCAATTTCTTCCACTGCATATGTTAATATATTTATAATACAGTTTTTACATATATATGTGTACAGTTATTTATTTATTTAGAACAGGTTTTGTGTGCCTTAAACTTTTCTGCTTCTTGAAGTTACCAGAGGTATGTTGTTACTGACATATATATAGAGCTGAGCCAGAAATATATCAGTTGGGTTATTTGAGAAGTTACAGATGCTATTTGTTCTGGTAGTTCCATCATATGGATAAAATTTACGGTAAGGAGTTTTCAACAAAATCAAATCGAATTACGATTCAGTCGAAAGTTTGGATTTCCTGGTGTCATCGGCGCTGTAGATGGTACCCACGTATCTACAACTGCACCTAATGACACGGAAGAATGCCAAGGATCATTTATAGAAGCAGAAAATCCTTCCATTCACTTAATGTGCAGTTGTGTAATTTTTCCTTCCATTATATATATATATTTGTAATAATAAAATGTCTATAGTCAAGAATACACTTAAGATTCTAACTGTA